GGTCTTCTGACTCTAAAGGCACCCACATTCAGCTCTGAGCTACATACTGATCTCACAGCCTAAGCACAAGTGTATAAACACTGCCATAGGAAAGATCACAAGGGCTTTTAATGGACCTCGGTGTTGGAATATAGTTTATACAGCACAAAGCATTTAAAAGAGCATTTTGATGGTGAGGTGTCCCCTTCTAAAGGGTGCTGTGTGTGTGTGTTAGAGAGACACACACACACACACACATCTGTATGAAGTTTTTGTTTACAATTCTAAATAGAAACGAATAGTGCAGATTCCAGTGAACAAAGTCTGACTAAATTTCGAACAGAGACAAGATACTATATGAAGTGCATAAATTCATAGCTAGACATGATTAATAGGGGGTTTGGTTTGGTTTTGTACCCAACAGGAAAGATTTTGTGAGAAAGGAAATTAATCCCGTTTAAGAGCTTTGCTAGCATAAGAGATTCTGTATAGAGGTTTCCTAACCATGTCCAAAACATGTTTCCAGTCTCATCCTTTTCTTCCCCAGGTCCTTGCAGAGAGAGAGTGAGCACTGTGTTCTCAGAAAGGCTTAAAGGAGCGGCATAGCCAAATGGCTTTCCCCATTATAAAAACAATTCACGAGGGACACCGCATTAAAGAAAAGGAATGTCAATTGAAATTGCTAGAATGAAATGTGATACACAGGACTCAGAGAGGAAGCTGTATATATTGCATTAAATTACACCACAGATTAATCCTGTCTGGTGGAGTGTCAAACGCACAGTTAACCATGAATATTATTAAGGTTCAGTAATACCCATTTAGCCGGTCAGATTACTTGTTCCCAGCTAATCTTTTTAGTTAAAAGGGAAGAAAAGCCGTTTCTATACTGATTTGACAATACAGTAGTGGATAGCCAGACAGAACGTTAGACAAACATCCACTGCAAATCTGTACACTCACAAGCTATGTTATGCTCCAAACCCCCATATGTCATGAACTTGAGATGCCTGATTACAGAAGGGCCAGTGAGGCTCCAAGGATTCAACCATGTGAAAGAAAAAAGAAATGTCCTCAACACACATCTCAACAAGACACTTTAGGTCAGACAACTGCATCAGAGAGATGTTCTGATGACCATGTGTTTAATCCACGCGCAAAAGCCCTTGGAAAAAAAGATCTCCAATTCAGGCATGCCAAGTGGCTATAATTGCCAAGTTTCTTTTTTTTAACCTGTATTTAGGTATACGGATGGGGCTTTAGAAACCTTTTTATTATGGTTATCATCTTTGTAATATCATGCATAGGTATGAACAGACAATGGTGATTGGCAACAGATGTGTGGAAATGTCAAGAGAGACCAGGTTTTTAAAAGCTTTCAATATCAGACCTTCCTATAAAAAAAGCCAACAAAAGATTTTTTCTTTACATCCATTAAAAATGGGCAAATTCATTATAAAGCAACACAAAAAAATGTTAGAGAGAAAACGCTTGGTTTAAACTTTTTTTTATCCTCATTACAAAATACTCCATCTTTCCAATAAAATGATCTGTTGTGTGTTTTTTTTCTTGCACTGACATGATCCTCTGAACGAAAAACTATCTGCTTTCACACCTGGGTAGGAACCAGGCCTTTTTAGGCAAATTTGTACGTTGTTGTTTATTTTTGTTGTTGTAAAAAGTTTCTAACAGAGCAAAAGCAGAGTCACTGCAGAAAGAAGCAATGAAACAAAGGAGGACGACGTTGATGGGCTTCCCAAGGTCGCTGCAGGTGCCAAACAATGGTTCCCAGGAGGGAGAAAAATGGTTGTTTAAAACAAATTTGGTGCATGTGGCAAGTGTGGATGTTTCCCGTGAGGTCCAAGGTGACATGTATGACAACAGACACAGGAAAGGAAACAAGGGGGAGGGGGAAGAGAAGAAAGAAAGAAAAAGAAAGAGAGAGAAAATAGATAAAAAGAAAAAAAATAGGTCAAATATAGAAAACATAAGAATTAAAGGTTTATTTAACTTAGTAAATTAAAATGGCCAAAGGTTAGAGAAGAGCTTTAGCACAGTAACACCAGCGAAAAGGCCGACTCGGCAGCTCAGCAATGCCAGAAGCAGCACAGCAAGTTAAAATTCAGGGGGTGAGGGGTTAGCGAGCAAATGGATCAAAATAAATGACGGAACAGGAGGCTCAAATGTGAAACATGAGAAAATGATTAGCTGGTATTTGAAAGGACAACGCTGCCTTTTTCTAAGAAAAGACCTTTTGGAAGCAGACACTGCACCTAACAGCCTGTCCAAGTCCTGACCCAGTGCTCACTGCACTGAGGGTTTGGGTAATAGATACACTTAATTACAGCCTTGCAAAAAGCAATATGGATGCAGGAATACCACGCTGGCTCTTCCTCAGAGAAATCAAGCTCCACTGGTTGGAGTCGTCGTAGACTACCCTCAAGCACACTGCTTCTATAACCATCTTTGTCCTTACAGTCAACTTGAGGACACCATAAAACTGGTCCCAGGACAGTCTCAAGGGATTATATATAACAAATATATGTTTTGTCTACATGGAAGATTTTCTTCCTAATGTAAGAAGGAGCAATGCTGGGTTGGAAACATTGACTCCAACCCCTGCCGTGGAGAAGTGGGTGGCTCATTCTGAAATCAAAAGGGAAATACTAAATAACCGGCTATGAAATAACTAAGTGACCCCAGTGTAGAACCAGATCCTTGGCCGATGTGAACTGCCATTACCACATTGACTTCAATGGATTTATATGAGCTGGAGATTTGGCCCGATGTTCTTCCCCAAGCGTCTATTAGGGGAATCTGCCCACAGAGGCTCTGAGTCTGCTAATACGTCACAGGCCAAAGGTAAACCACTGCCCTAAACAAGATCAAACAGCTAAAGCAGTAAAATCTTCTGCCCACTGCAGGTAACATGAATAATTTCATTGCACGATGCTCTCCTTCTCTCTGAAGCAGGCTTCCATTCTGAGAAGGCAGAGAGCCCAAGTGCTGGAGTACATTGGATCGACACTGAAGGAAACTACACTCCGAAACAAGGACCTCTCCTCCAAGAACTCACTTAAGATGGTTCCCACTCATGTGGCTTTCTAGTATTTTGAACAGCAGCATTCAAAATGGCATAGTGATTCAAAATCTAGCTCCTCCTCTCCTTTACAGTGGAGTAACAACTGAGGAGTAGTTCCGCTGAAGTCAATGCGGTTACATCAGTGAGATCAGAATAGGGCTATTTTAATCTATCTATGGCTTTATTAAGAAGCCTATAAACAATTTTCTCTCTGCACTCTGCCTGGCATTTCAAAGATTGCACTTTCAAAAGGCCTGTCTCACTGCTCCTGCTATCCTTAACCACTTAACTGTTACCTGAATGTTTTCCCAGGTACGTTTCAGCATTCCATTGGACTGCAGTGGAACGCTATAGACAATGCCAGCACAGGAAATTTGCAGCGAGCCAACCTCAAGAAGGCTGAGGGAACTGAAACACTGTTCAGCACTTAGAAGCTTCCTCTTCAGTGACCCCCAAGAGCACAAAGGAACTAATTTACTGCTGATCTCAGCCTACTGCCATTGGTTGCCTAGCCCTGAAATGATCTTATGCAATTCTCCACCTCCCTCAGTTGTCCTTCAAATGCATGAGGGTAATAAGTATTAGAGCTATTGAAAATGCAAAACTGAGCGTGAGTTGTTTAATGAGTTACCAAATGTCCTTCCATCTGAAACTACAGACCTGTTAAGCGCTCATCCCACTCTCTCTTCCCCGCCACACTCCCTTTCAAGCCCCAAGCATCCAGTGTTAACAGGTCACACTCATTTGTATGCTTAATACTGCAAGTGGGCTTTACCCAGTAAAGTTTTATCATGCACACTGCACAAGCTCTCAGCTGCATCCCTCCGAAAGGGGAGGGAGGAACAGACCAAGGCTCAAGGCTCAGCTACAGGACAATGTGGGGAGAATTTGCTAACTGCTTTGAGGGAAAAAAGTGAGAGAGTCACAGATAAAGCTCTAAAGAAAAAAATAAAATGAAATAACTTCCTTAATACAGATCATAGGCAACGATCGCAGCATGGATGCTCTTCACTCAGGCTATTCAATGAGGCTGTCTCTACTGCTCCAGCTTGCCAGCTTTCAGACTTGTACATGTAGTGTTAACTTAAAATCATAGCTGGTCCGAGGGTCTTACCCCCAAAGGGACTTCTGTGGCTGAATTATTATACAGGCCAAGAGAGGTCTGGAAAGGAGATTCTCCCAAACCTTTTCTCTCTCCTGCAGGCTACCAAACTGCCGGCAAATGTCTGTACTTTAGGGACTGTTTGGCTATTGCAGTATTTGTGATTGCACCTAGTTTTATGGGGAGAGAAATCCATGAAGGATGCATCAGTCTGTCCGCAACAGCAGCTTCTAAAAGGACTGCTGACATTATTCAATTTCTTTTGCCTAATGGGCTACCCAGTGTAATTATTTTAGCAACAGGTTTGCTTTAGAAAGTGCTTTAATTTGGTCTCCAGTTCGTATAATAAAGGCCATGCAGCACAGAACAATTTTAACCACACCAGCCAGCTCTTTACGCCTTTATGCCGCTGATAACTGTCTTGTATCAGCAAATGAGCAAAAAGCAAGCAGAAAGCAGGTTTGAAAGGGCAATTCATGTTGTGAAAAGCACGATACCAGATCTCTGAATTTTCCCTTTGCCTTGGCTTGAATCAGGGACCCTATTTACTGGTTTCAGAAATGCATTTTCTACCCAGCACTTTTCTCATCTGCATGTCTTGTTAGTGTATAGTGATACAACAGCAAATATTTCCTGTGAATAGTCAGACAACGGTTTTTCATGGAGCATTCCTACCAGGTTTTTGCTGTGCTATACATATGCTTTGAATGGGTAACCAATTATGATAATGTCTTTAAGCAAGCAAGTTGTCAGGGTTTATTCAGGCACATTAAGGGATGCAGCATAGTTGCATTAATTGAAAGCAGAAAACAATGGTAAAGCTTGTGGCGGTCATACCTGGGATTACAGTAGGCTGAGCTGAAGTCCTGAAAGCATAGTGTGCAGGCTTGGATTTCCCTTGCTGGTTCTCAGCTATCACGTAGACCTCATACTCTGCATTCCACTCTAGGGACTTAAGAACGACGTGGTCGCTGTTAGAGGGGAGTCTGATCTCTGGTTTCCAGTCTGAGGAAAGCTTCTGGGGGATGGCGAGAGGAGAGAGGGGATAAAAAACACAGTGCATGGTCTTAATGGTCAGTTCTGAGATAGGAGGATGATCAACTAATAAACATCCCACATGATGTAAAATAAACAGGGAGGCTTTTAAACAGGCATGGGGTTCTCAGACAACTCAGCAGGTGCCAAATGGGAAACCTACTGCCAGAAGCAGGTGAATCTGTCCCTAGGAAGGGGTGGCTGATTGAGAATTTATGAAATCTAAGCAGCATCTTCCCTACTTATTTCCCAGTACAGAGCTATCGTGTCTAAAGAAAACCCTGCTGCTTGTTCCTCTCTCCTCTGCCTGACACCAGATCACACACCTGTTTTAGAAAGACCAAGCCCCAGACCCTCCACGCACGTTGCTGAAGTGTGAAACATGCCCAGGATTTTCAGAGGATTTTTTGCAGCGCTGGTACATAGAATCCAGACCACTTTGATGACAAAGGTTTGCTTCCAAACTGAGGGCGAGCCTAGTTTACCAGTTTTGTCTAGTCTGCTCTCTTTAGTCTCTTGGAGATTTTCAAAGCTGCCTAAAGAGATATGGATCCCTAATTTCCATTTTTAATGGAAAGTGGGTGTCCAAATCCTTTAGGCAGCTTTGCAAACCTGTTACCAAGCTATCCTGAGTACTCAGTCTCCCCTGAGCTTGCTATTCTATGGCACCTCGATGACGGATGAGGGCTGCCATTATCTCAGCTCTTGCACAGCAAAAATGCAATTTAAAACTCAGCAGCGAGTCCTGCTACTGGCTACTGTCACTGGGCAGCTCCTTTGCTTTTCTGCTCTTACTGAGCCAGACAGAGCGGTGAAAGGGCAGTGGTGACCCTCAAAGACCAGCTGCTTGGTCTCTCCTCACAGACGAAAATGTGCCCCATGAAATAAGTGATCCATATAAAGAGCAGGACTAACAAAAAATTATAAAATCATGTGGCCTCCTCAGTGGCCAATTCGCATCCAGGATTCCACAGCATTCCGAAGCACATGCTGTTGGCGAACCTCATTTTATGGCAAAGGGGAAGCCCTCACATGAGTGCTATGGTCAAGAAAGAAAGAAAGAAAGAAAGAAAGAAAGCATTCGTCTCCTAGCTCATCCCCAGCTGCATGCATCAATTATTCCACCTAGAGGTACTTGCATGTAAGTCACCTATTTATGGTAATATTTCAGGTCATTCACTGGGAGAGGGAAGCCAGTTAATACACAATGCAGTTTAGTGGGGCAGTTAAGGTGATCCACCAACAGATGAACAGAGAAGACAGAAATGTGCAGCAGGGCTGGGAAAAGCCATAAGAGGCTGGAGAAAATGCCTTCTACAGCACCCAGGGCAGACAAGTCATGAGCCAGCAGTCAAGCTTGGGACAAGGTCATGTGGACACATGGCAACACTTTTTTTTTTAAAATGACCTGGTCATTAAAAACTAAGCGAAAAGGTTTTCATAGATTTTTAAGGCCAGAAGCGACCATTATGATCATCTAATCTCACCGCCTGCCTAGCACAGGCCAGAGAACCTCAGCCAGTAGTTTCTGCATCAAGCCCGTAATGTCTGCGGGAGCTATAGCATAGCTTTTTAAAAGACACCCTCAAGTGACGAAGAATCCATAACATCCCTGGGATTTACATCCCTAAAACTGGAGGTTGATAATGTGATGGATTTAACCAGGGCAACAAGTTACAGCACACAAGCTTTCCATATAAAACATCATTTCTTCCTCCGAGGATGAGCAGCTTGTTGGTTTATAGGTGGGTCACTCATTTTAATTAATTTCAGCATCAACAAATTAGGGAGTTGCCTTAGATGCAGGACAGTGTATGCGTGGATAAAAACAATACAGGATAGCCCTTTTTTTTTATTATTACAGCAAAGTGTTCTATGCATGTTTTTTGTAAACCTTTCATGAAAGAGAAAAACAACTCAATTAGGATCAGTCACAGTGCTGGGTGCATCTGAAAAACCCTATGAAGCCTATTTACTGAGATCTAGTGCTTTTATGTACCTTGGAATTACCTTCTGCATACTGATCACAGTGGCATCGAAGCACCCTGACAATGGAAAATTCCTCCACTAAGTTGCAAACAAGCCTTCTCATTAGCCAATGAGGGTCCCCAGAGCAGTGCAGCATGTGGCTGCTTCAGAACACTGGTAACACATGGGTTGGTGAACAAATGTGAGGTAGAGCAGCAGGGAGAACGCAGTGAGTGGGGTTTCGTCACGGTGGAACATTTGTTAGTGCGAAGTGGTGGGGTCGGTTTTAGAATAATAAATTTAAACAAACAAACAAAAAACAAAAGCCCACCAGCAACGGAGAATGCTTACTCTGTGCAAGCCCCTCCCCTCGGCAATGGCCTCTGAAAGATGGCTTGGATGATCTAACAGGTCTTCATCTCTATCTTCTGGATTCTATGAAGCTAAAACACCTAGTAAGAATTTAACAACTCCCTCCTGTCAGAGGGTGGTTGGGAGGGCACCCGAGGGGCTGCAAGAGTCCCTATGGCATTTCTAGCACGAGCGCCAGGATTACTCTGCTTGCTTCACTCTGAGGTTCACTCACCCCACTGCATGGGATGAGTCTTATTGCAAAGGTGGTTTCCCGACGGCTGGTACAGAATTACTTCATGAGAGGGTCTACCAGGCTTAGTCTTGAAGATCTGCTTCGTAAATGCCCCAAAACTTCCACTAAAGGCTCTGGTACAGTTTAATTGCTACCAGGCACATTAATATTGGATCAGATTGTCCAGCCAACAGAAACAGCATCAGTAATTTTTAGCCAAACTTCCCCCAGCCCTACAGATCCTCAGGACCTCAAGGCTTCTCCGACACATTCTTATTCCTTAAGGCTGAGCTGCAACGTATTCTCTGATTCGGTGCTTTGCCTGCTGTAGAACAGAGAACATCAAACATCACCTAGCAAAAGCCGAGGTTAAAGTTGGCTTCATTTGTTCAGCTTGCAGCAATGTTACCTACTCATAATAAAACAATCCTTCCATTGGGCATTTGCTCAAAATAGAGCAGAGTGGGGTTCACAACCCTAGGCAATTATAGAGATCTAATTTACTTGGGGCCTAATGAGGAATATCTTCAGATAGCGTCCCCCCAGATGGCCATGAATACATTTGGCCTTATATTGTCTCCATCTAACGTTGAATACAGTTGATCCAGTCACCTCGCCTCATATTCTTTTTTTAAGTCACTAGTGCACAATAATTTGTTACCAATATGTGGATTATCCAAGCATACAGGGTCAGCTGGGAAATACAGCATGAAAGTTGTAAATTGTTAAGATAAGAGTTTGAAGTTAAATAATGCCCCATGTTTCAAGCCACTGACTAAGGCCTATTCAAAATGTTGCTGGCTATTATGTTTCATAAGAACATGAAATTAAAAAAAAAATCTATGTGCTTGTTATCACCCATAGCAGTGCAGCCAGGGGGAGAGGGAGGAAGCGAAGGAAATGAACAGTCAAGGTCAAAGTCAAGGAGAAAGTGGTGAGCTAAGAATTTTCTGCTAAATTCTGTATATTTACGTGCCTGTCTATTCCAATGCCACCTCATTTGTCCGGTGAGTCCATCTGTCATTTCTTGATGCCTAGACTGCAAGCTCCCTGGGGTAGTGACTGTTGTGCTTTGTTACTTATCTGAATAGCACCTAATACAGTACGGCCCTGGGTCTTGACTAGACAAATCAACAACAAAACCAGCCCAGCAGTCTCGGCTAGTGGTCATACTTACAGCTTTGTATTTGATCAGATAGTGTCTGATCGGGGAGCCTCCATCATCCTGCTTGATAAGGTTCACTTTAATGGAGTTCCCGTCTTCTCCAACCTGGCCCTCCAGTTTGGGTGCGCTGGGTTCCCCTGAAATAATGGTTTGACTCATATTTAATTTCCAGCCACTTCATAAAAATAAATACATAAACAAACCAAAGCCAGTAAAAGTGCACCATCATCCTGAAACACTTATGGGCAGGTTATCTGCTCCACCCTGGCTCACGCCCACGTGGAAACGCAGGTACACAGACGTGAAAACGCATCCCGTGCTCCTGAGAGATTCTAATATTTGCAAGGGTTAGAATTTTTAGCAGGTATTTGTGCTTACAAAATTCAGGTGAAATTTTGCATGTGGCTAACCAGAGGTAGGGCAGAAGCTGGGCTTGAAATATAGCTCCTTGGTGTCTGCGACTCAGAAGCAGTTTTAAAGGTTTTCATTCTGAAATTCTTATGTTAAACAGCAGCAAAACAAAGTGGGCGTCAGTCTGTCAAACCAGCAGGGCCACTCTTCTGAAGTGCATACAGAGCAAACTCTCTGTTTCAAGTGGCTAGCTCGCCTCTCCACTGAGAGACATGTTTCTCCTATATCATTTTTTCTGGGTCTGCACATTGAATGCTTTTCAAATTTGAAAAAAATCTCGGGATTCTCCATCACCCTGCACCTTGTACTGTCATGTACAGCAGTGAAAAGTAGGCATAAAATATTACTGCATTAGAATAGCAGCATTTTACACTCAGTTTGCATTGGTGTAGATGGCTAAACAGGATGCCCAGCAATGGGGAATCAGACCCTTGTCTCCAATTTAGTAATGTTATTTTTTTTTTAAAAAAATAAAAGAGAAAACATTCTCCTGATTTGCAGCTCAGGCCATGTCCACAAAGGACAAGAAGGGGTTAATCTCCTCCCTAAGACTTCCATTTACCTAGGGCCATTTCCTGCCATTCACTAGTGGTGGCTCTTGTGATTCTCAAGGCAAATGGTGAGTCAATTCCTGCTCTATCGCATTTGTACAAGATCCGCAGAGGACACTTCCCCACCCCCACACAGTGAACATTTCCTCCTTGTGCTTTTCAGCTCTTCTGCATGAAACAAAACTTAACTCACATGACTTAATTATGCTGTTACAAGTGCTAACCTCCCATCTAGAGAGACCACAGCTAGAGTCAGATTTCTGTATACACATTCCCTATAATACTCCCTTTGGTATTTCTCCAGGTTTCAGCTGTTTCTAATTCATATTGATATGATTTACCCCCTGAAGTCTGTTTGGAACTGGCATTACTACCATTTTGTTGTTTATTCATGGATTCTAAGGCCAGAAGACACCATTGTGATCATTTAGGTTTGACCTCCCATATAACATGGGTCAAAGAACTTCCCCAAAATAATTCCTAGAGCAGATCTTTCAAAAAAAAAACCCATTTAATCTTGATTTAAAAATTGCCAGTGATGGAGAAACCACTATGATCCTCGGTAAATTGTTCCAATGGTTAATTATTCTCTCTGTTAAAAATGTATGCCTCATTTCCCATCTGAATTTGTCTCGCTTCAACTTCCAGCCACTAGATTGTGTTAGACCTTTCTCTGCTCGATTGAAAAGCCCCTTATTAAATATTTGTTCCCCATGTAGGTACTTACACACTGTGATCAAGCCACCTCTTTTGCAACAAGAGAAGAAAAAAAATCAATGAATACAATTTTCCAAAGCACTTAAATGATTTAGAAGCCTTAGTCTCATTTTCAAAAGTAACACAGTCACTTGGGAGCCTAATTCCCACTGACTTTCAATGAGACTTAGGTGCTTTTGGAGATTTTACCATTCAGCGTATTGAAAGGCAATGGGACTTAGGCTCCTAAGTTAATTTGAAAACAGGATTTACTGTAAAATTTTGTAAAGTGCTTAAGTGACTTAGATGCTTAAGTCCCAATGTGACTCTATGGGTGCTTTTGAAAATTTAACCTACGGCTCCTAAGTTACTTTAATGCTTTAAAAAATTTGATCTCAAGTCTTGCTGAAAGTCAAAGGGACATAGGCTCTATTCTGTACTCATCCCCTTAGAATCTGAGTGCTTAAATCATTTTTGAAAATGTAACTTAGGCAAATTATAAACTGTTACCCAATGTCTTTGTGGGCATCGAGACCCAGAAACTCCATGCTAGTCTGAGGCTGCATTAAAGACCCAACTCCCAGCTCCATGAATCCAAAATCTATGAGGACGACAACTCTGGAAGTTATCAGTGGTGGGGTACCAAGATATGACAATGGCTCACTATTAAGACTCAAATATTTGTTGTGTGAGTAATTTTGGCTAATGTGATTAAAACATACGTTACGTTAAAGAGAGCTAGCACTGGCCTTATATTAGAAGTGATGGAGTTCTGTCAATCTACAGGTTTTAATGATAAGCCAAACCAGTCTTCCTTCATCTATTCCAGAAAAAGCAATGTGACTAGCAGGGACTTTGTCTCCTTGTGAAGTGAGCTCGGGCAAATGCAGAGCTCCAACATTACAGTAATCGTGCCACTGAGAAGCCTGCACCATGAAAACACCCACTGTCTTCTCCTTTCCACAGCTTCTGCATCAATGGGGTTTTTGTGCACATCCCCTTCAGAAACGAGTGTTCCCTCAACCCCCCCTTATTTGTTATGGTATGTTTTCTGCAGATTTAATTCCCTTTGGCTCACGAAGGAAAAAATAAAAAGGATGCATGATGCAAGTGCCAGTGGAAGCAGGGAAGTTTTCATGAAGATAGGCTTAAAAAATACACAAAAATAAATCTTGCCTCAGCCATTGTAGAGAGATGCATATAAAGTCCACACAGATTTTGCTTCCTTAAAGAATTACTAATGAAGGCAGACAAATCAGTCCAGAGAGTAACAGAATCCTGGCACTATGGACTAGCTACCAAGTACAGTTCTACACTGAAAAGCGGATCTGTGAAAATGGCACCTTCTTATTCATCAGATTTTCTCCTTGAAAACTTTTGGGATAAACCTGTTTCTAATTACTTTCTACTCCTCTTACTCCTTGTGAATCCAGCACTGCTAAGAAAAAGCAAGCTGGATTCTTATTCAGTCTCACATATCAAATAGAACTATTAACCATCTCCAGTGCCAGGTTCTGCCCTCGGTTATCCTGGGCAGCCCCGTTGAGCTAAGGGCGGCATGTGGCTCACAGAATTTTTGTTACTGGGGATGTAATGCATGAGAAGTACAAATCTGAGCTTGACTCTCAGATCCCAGCTTGAATTTGCAAGGCTGGAACCTGGAAGAAAAAAAAAAAGGAACTATCTATTGTAAATTGAGCAATTTACTCTGGTGTCACTCCCAGGCAGGTTTTCAATGGCACCTTGGTGCTTTGCCTATCTGCATCTTATGGCACCTAAATACCTTTGAAACGATTTCAAAACAGAAGAATTAATGAACTATCTGATCTCAAATCTGCAGCTACCATTGCCTGAAAGAGCATGTGACTTAGAGACCTCAGACAAGAAGGAGAAAGGATAGGCCATTGGGTAGGGAGATCACCTACAGCTTGGAAGAGCTGGGATCAATTTCTCACTCTGCCAAACTTCCTGAGTGAGCTTGGGCAAGTCAATTAGTCTCTCCTGGCCTCCGCGCCCCATCTGAAAACTGTTCTGATCTTGGGGTCTTTTGGACATTAGTACATTAAAGAGTGTGAGGCACCTGGATACCAGTGGGGGCCATATAAGTGTTTACATAAGAACAGCCACACTGGGTCAGACCAAAGGTCCATCTAGCCCAGTATCCTGTCTTCCAACAGCGACCAATGTCATGCCCCAGAGGGAATTAACAGAACAGGTAATCATCAAGTGATCCATCCCCTGGTCGCCCATTCCCAGCTTGTGGCAAACGAAACTAGATAGATGTGATACGCACAGGAATTCTGCTTTAGTGCAGCACTGGAGTAGTGGATTTGCCTTTAAAATGTCCTTTTCCTCATGTGCATTATTTAAATATTCCTGCGTGTAAGGTTGCAGGATGTTAGCTATTAGAAATCATCTCTCTTTTAAAGATACTGGGCCACAATATATTACACTGATAGCCCCCACGCTTCCCTTGCCACCGCAAGCCCACGTCTGATTGCTGGCTTGCTATCTTTGCCACACCACTCTCCGATTCTATACTGCCTCCCTGCAATCTGCCTGGCAGCCGTGAAAGCATAATGATGGAAGGTTAAATCAATAAAAACCCTCTCAGCATGCTGTACTCCACCTTTTTGGTGCAAATTGATTTACATCTGCTCTGCCATTTGTTCCTGATGATGTGCCTTTGACTGCTCTGCAGTATTTCAGCCCATGATGGCTGTTGACAGAGCAATGACATAGTAAGGTCTAAGAATGTGATACTTCCTCCCTGGTGCAAGTTCAGTGGGTTTAGATGGAATCTGGGCCATTACCTCCATTACATTACTTTGGATACTTATGACCAGGATTAATTTACAAGATGAACAAAAAGAAAATAAAAATACCAGAGAGCAGCATGAAAACTCAGGCCTGTAACATTAAACAGCAGAGCCTCGAAAAGGGCCAGATGCAAAGCCAATGAAATCAAAAGGAGTCTTTCCCTTGACTTCAGTAGGGTTCAGATCATATCTCCATTCACTGCTAATGTGCACACCATATAATTCACACTCAGAAAAGCTGTTCCCTTCTCTTTTCTCAGCAAAGATTTAACAGAAGAGGGCAGTTGTAAGGTCTTGTATTACTAAGACTTCCATTACTTCTGCCAAAGATACTACAGTGCATTTGCTACTAGTACATTACAAAGTGGTGTTAAAAATAATGGAAAATAAATTACAGTTGTCAAAATAAATGAACAAAGTACATTGTGAGAGACATTATCCTTGACTCTTTATAATTCATAAACTCATTGGTAATTTACACTGGTTCTTCCATTAATTAGTGACTATTAATGAAGATGTCTTGCATATGCATGTAGTGCTAATCCCAGGTTTAGAATGCCAGGGTATGTAAAGGGCCATGCAAACTATTATGGTTTCACTAAATATGTTTTAATAGCTGAAATCATTTATAGATTTCCCGCATGTTTCTATTTCTCGGAA